CACTACACTGCACTACACTACACTACACTGCACTACACTACACTACACTTAATTCTTCTTTATCTCATTCACAAAAATACATTGAGAATATGTGGTGTTTAACTAACTGATTACTTGTTCAATTTCACTGAGAAAGTTTCATAAACCAGAATTAGAATTTCATGAATGCTTATTGTTGATAATTAAAAGAAGATAGGTAAGTTTGATTTCATCGGGAAATTTTCATAGACCATAAGCGATATTGGTGAGAAACGGTTCATTATATTTTGCCCTTTTTTTATTAAGACTAATTCCACGTGTATTCTCAAAAGAAACAGCAGCATCAAGATGATGTATCTATACCTCTTTCGATTCGAGGACCACTGATGGTAATCAATATGACAACAAGGCTACGGTATTATTTCAAGATGTCCTTGTATCTCTTCTTTGTGGCTTTTCTTTTGCGGAAGTTGATGGTGAATTCATCATAGAGCACAATCTTGAACAAACTTTAATCCTAGAAACGTACCTGTCCAGCGCAGCTGGGTTTTCAGCCGCATGAGCTCAATACTGGTAGTTCCTACCTGTTCAGGATCGGTCACATTAGTCACGTAATCAGTCCAGTGGATGTTTAGAATTGTACGGAAGCAGCGCTGATGGAATCGTTCAAGGAATTTCAGGTGGGTTTCGCAAGCGGTAGATGATCCATACATAATTCAAATCTATATGAAAAAGTAGGCAGTTACAATGGCTTTATGGACACTAATCTTTGTACTTTTCTCCATCAGACTCTTTTATGAAGTCTTCCGAATACTTGATAATCTTTGTACTTCTTTTCCAGTGTTTATTGCTACACTACACTCCCTATATGTTATGCATATGCTAAACTTACCTTATTGTTAATCATATCATCTAAGGGAATGATATTCCTCCTTAGTTGAATTAATTGACTTAACTTTGAGTTTCTTGTATTTTATAAATAGTTCTTCATCTAAAGCAATATTTCTGTACGAGATCTTTAAAAGAAATCATTTTTACAAAAATTCAAGCTTCCTTTTTTGTCAACTTTTCACTTTCGTTGTCCTATCATTAGGAGGAAACGGACAATTTTAAATAGTTTTACATCCCTCAAAAGTAATTGCAATCGATGGCAGTGAATAATTGGAAGCAGGAAGGTTCGTTTCACGAGAAACTTTAGGTAAAAGTGACGAATCATTGTTAGAATCATCCCATAGCTGCAGTGAAAAGAATAATTTGCTGTCAAGGATAGTAGAAGTAGAGGGAATGTATTTTGCGAAATGTCACTCTTTCTTCATTCTTGCATCATTTCCTCGCTGTTAATATGAGCCGAACGAAGTTGACATGACAAAAGCACTATCCCTGTGTCTCCTTTATGGATGGGTAGACAGAAAGCTTGTATTGACCCCAAACCCCATCTCTCCCTCTATCCCCCCCTCTCTAAACTCCTCTCCTGATTGAAAGCAATATGATAGATGATGAAGAGTAAATGCAACATTTGGTAAAGTGACACACACTTTATAAAATGGATAGGCGACACGACCCTGGCAGGACTCGAACCTGCAGTCTTCGCTTTAGGAGAGCGACGCCTTGTCCATTAGGCCACAGGGCCATACAGGTAATTTCTTAGTAATTGTTTAATTTACCGTGAGAAGATGCAATCAAAATCTTTGGATGGATCAGGAGGAACAGTGTTTCTGTCACAGAAGGTAATGGGATGATTTGATAAAATCATCGAGAGATTTCATTTAAAAAATGACGTCATAGTGGTCATCGTGCTTATCACTCCCGTCTTGCATAACTTTTAATCTATTAGCAGTGAACACTTCCTATCTTCTTTGCAGGATTCGGCATGTTCTTATTAGCATTCCTGGTTTAATGTCACCTCATAGTTATTTTTGGAGTAAAGCTTGTCTGTTGCCCGAGGAGGGAGAAATTTTTGAGAGATGGATGATTGAAAGAATGAATAGTGGAAAAAGAAATAACAGAAGAAAGGGTGGGGTGAGAATTCAGGTCATCCAAAGAGTACTACAGCGAGTTGTTCAACTATACACTCTCCAAAAATGGTTTATACATGAACGCGCCCTGCAAATTCCTCATTTTTTCCTCCTTCTGATGGATATATTTTATAAATCATATATTTATTAATTATATATTTTATATTTATGAATTTAAAAAAGTTAAAGAATTTAGATTTAACAAATTTAAAAGTGTAAATTATATATTCATTAATTATATGTTTTATAAATTACATAAATTTTAGTATTATTATTATTATTATTATTATTATTATTATTATTATTATTATTATTATTATTATTATTATTATTATTATTATTATTATTATTATTATTATTATTATTATTATTATTATTATTATTATTATTATTATTATTATTATTATTATTATTATTATTATTATTATTATTATTATTATTATTATTATTATTATTATTATTATTATTATTATT